GAGTAGGCCGAGTGCTCGACTACCTAAGTAAGAGGAGCCAAGGAGGAGGGTCTTGGGTGGTGACTATCTTAATGATGACTGATGATCGATAAGGTGATGATCGTGAGATGAAGGAGGACAATTGAAAGACGAAGGAGAAGTGAAGAATTGATAAAGAAAGGAATGAAGGACAAAAGGATCGAAGGAGAGCTAGAGAGTGGTGACCGAAGAAGAAAGGAATGAAATCGAATGAGGTTAGGGAAGGTGGAAGACGGAAGGAGAACTAGAGAGACTTATGTCTACGTGTTTCGATTTCGGCGAGAATGATTGAATGAAGATTGAAGAAGTTAGGGATTTAGAAATTAGGATTTTTTTAACGTTTATTCGATTTTTGATCAAAATTGAAAATTTTTTTTTCAAAAACCGAACCAAACCGAAATAATTTTGGTTTTTCGATTCGATTTTAAATTGTATAATTTTACATTTAGAATCAAAATAAATTTCATAATTCGATTCGATTCTATTCGTTTTTTGATTAATCGAACAATTTGCATACCCCTATAATGATGACTATTCTTTCAAAATCGCTTGATAAGTTTTTTTCATCCTTTTTCCAATCTTAATTTAATTTTGTGAAAATCCTATAAATATATGAAAAATAATAATTAATGAGTTGTTTGGCTTTGAAATTAGGGTTTTAAATACATTTTGAATTTGATTTTTGTTGCTAGATAATGGTGTTTTTTAGTTTGTCAATGATTTCACCATTATGTGTCTATCACTTGTTCTTGGATGTTGGTCAATAAGAAAACTAGACTTGATTGTTGAAAAAAAAATGTTACTCAAATAAAAAAAATTAATGATTGGATATCAGCTTTTGTTTGACCAAAAGTTTATGATACTATAAAACCAATAAACCATACTTTATATATGAATCCAATATCTCATGAATATTTCATTAATAATTTAATTCAAACATCCTTACCATTGAAGAAAAACATAATGTTTTCAATTTTTTTTTTTTTTTTTTTTGTATTTTAATTTTAGATCATAAAACCAAAATTATATATAAAAAAGATAAGTATTATCAAAGAAAAATGTAATATTATGGATATTATTCAAATTAGTTTGCAATTTTCAGATATTTCAACTAATTTTATCTACTTTTAATAATGAGAATAAGTATTTTATATTTTAATTAATAATTAAATACAGATTAAGAATTAATTTTGAAGAAAAAATACATGCATTTAATGAACCATAGCTTAAATTTTCAGCAATAATAGATCCACAACATTTGTATTATATGCTATCCGTATCTCAAAGCAAATCATAAATTATTTTCTTTAATTTTGAATTTAATTAGTTTTAAGAGATAAAACAAAAAAAATAAAAGACAAATAAATAAATATTATGAAAAGACTGATGAGGGAGAAAAAAGACTTTTTCAAATTAAAATAATATTAAATTAAACATGATTTAACACTGATTAAAAAAATTAAATAATTAGCTTTTTCAAGAGAAACTAATTAATTCGTTAATCAAAACTGGAAGGACTAATTTATAATTTACTCCTGTATCTCGTGTCCAGATCTGTGCTTCTTGGATCGAAACCCAATTTGGCACCATTTATTGTAAAATTCTCTCTAAGCCTACAGCATTCATTGTTTTGACGTTTGTCTGCCCTAAATAAGTGGTGCTATGCCGTTGGAAAGATGATGGTATTTATAGTAAATTTGCATTGGCATGGTATCATGTTTGTTGGGTAAAGGAAAGATGAGGAAAGGCTTTCAACTAATTAAATACAAATATCAATTTGACGTGCTCTCGTCCTTCATATGCCACAAGACTCTAGAGATGAGCTACTGAAATGCCAACACAGAACAATTGGGGCGGACAAGGTTTTACTGCCAATTCCTTAACTAAAACAATTTTAAGTCCAAGCCCAACACATATCTGGCCTTTCTTGTTACTGCTACAGTTGACATATATGACAATAACCGATTCTACAACAGAAGCTGTTGCATTTGACAAAAATAAACAAATTTGAGCTTAGGATAGTTGCTTCAAGTGAAGAAGAACAAGAGAAACTTTTTAACAAAGAATGTTCCGTATAATGATGCAACCTACATTAATTTCATCATCTGCCAGCAAATTCTACCTGATACATCAGCATCAATTGGTTCTCAATTTCAATGAAACTTACCAGTGCAGCCTTTCACTTCTAGTTCTTTAAACTTTATCCTCTGAGGAAGCCTAACCAACAACAAAAGCTGATTATTATAAGGCGTTGGAATCTAATAGGATGTTGTTCCAAAATGAAAAATCAAGCGATGCATCCACAAAACTGAAATAGTAACAGCAATCAACGAAACAACAATTTATTGCAATAGTAACAGCAAATAATTGACCCAGTGGAACTAACTCTAGCATTAAGCTGTCCTCCCTTATCCCTGCTAATGCAAAAACCACATGCAAGCAACATATGATATTTGGAAAATAGAGAATCTATGGTGAGAATGCTAGCTATAAATGCAGACATTACATGTTTTTGGTCCTCTGCCCTTTCATTAAGGTCTTGCTGAACAAAAGATGTCTATGTGAGAGGTAATTGTAACTGAAAGTTGTATAGCTCACATTTTCATGACTAGATTCAACATATCAGTATAAACAAAGTTAAAGATTAGCGATTATATTGTGATATGTGCCTCACGAGGTTTGCTAAAGGAAATTATACTTGATCTGTGCAAACATTCTCATCAACTACAGAAAATGGCCTATTTTTGCAATCAGAACTAGTTGAAATCAACAAATGAAATGTCTTCCCCAGCTCTCTTCTCCAAACTGCCTCTGTTTCTGGATAAAAGATCTCAGTATCTAACCAATCAATTGTGTGGGATCCAAGAAAGTTTCTAGATCCCCTCGTCAAACAAATTACTCCTAAGACAACTGCATAGTTGACGAATTCCAAAGAATTATCATCATACCAGAGCTTGAAACAGTCTCATATGAGTCAACGCTAAATAAGAATTTAATCTCTCTCCGTAATTTTCCTGTTCGAACAAAAAAACTACATCTCCAGCTCTCCACAAACCAAACAAAACAACTCATATGCTACCCAGCAAACAACCATATGGTTGGGAACAGCAGAATAAAAAATAAAACCCTGCACCATCATCTTGCATTCAATATCTAATCTTATAAATTACACAAAGCAAGGTTCATCAATAAAACCCAACAATCAAAAGCAATGCAGCTACACACTCCTGCATGCCTAGCCTAAACAAAAAAGTACACAATTTGCATACAACTTCATTAACCTAACATTTCTTGTCCAAAAGCTAAATCTTTCAAAAACTAATAATGCTAAAAAACCAACCAAATCCACAAAGAAAAGAAATATAACAAACTGACTCATCTTTCCATTACAACTTTCGAGCCTGCTTTCACTGTTTACTCAATAACCATAGTGGACATGAACACATTTTGATTTGTACCATTTGCATTATATGTACAAACACTATGCATGCACCCAAGTGACACAACATTCAGAAATAGGAAAACAGAGAGTTTAAGGCGTGCTGGCCAACCATTATCATGTTGCATTGCATATCTAATCTTATAAATTACACAAAGCAAGGTTCATCAATAAAACCCAACAATCAAAAGCAATGCAGCTACACACTCCTGCATGCCTAGCCTAAACAAAAAAGTACACAATTTGCATACAACTTCATTAACCTAACATTTCTTGTCCAAAAGCTAAATCTTTCAAAAACTAATAATGCTAAAAAACCAACCAAATCCACAAAGAAAAGAAATATAACAAACTGACTCATCATTCCATTACAACTTTTGAGCCTGCTTTCACTGTTTACTCAATAACCATAGTGGACATGAACACATTTTGATTTGTACCATTTGCATTATAAGTACAAACACTATGCATGCACCCAAGTGACACAACATTCAGAAATAGGAAAACAGAGAGTTTAAGGCGTGCTGGCCAACCATTATCATGTTGCATTGCATATCTAATCTTATAAATTACACAAAGCAAGGTTCATCAATAAAACCCAACAATCAAAAGCAATGCAGCTACACACTCCTACATGCCTAGCCTAAAAAAAAAGTACACGATTTGTATACAACTTCCTTAACCTAACCTTTCTTGTCCAAAAGCTTAATCTTTCAAAAACTAATAATGCTAAAAAACCAACCAAATCCACAAAGAAAAGAAATATGACAAACTGACTCATCATTCCATTATAACTTTCGAGCCTGCTTTCTCTGTTTTCTCAATAACCATAATGGACATGAACGTATTTTGATTTGTACCATTTGCATTATACGTACAAACACTATGCATGCACCCAAGTGACACAACATTCAGAAATAGGAAAACAGAGAGTTTAAGGCGTGCTGGCCAACCATTACCATGTTGCATTTATGTTGCAGACATTCTGTCCATTTTAGTCTTAACTGATACTTCACTAAAACACTTACAATTTTGTTATTAGATTCAATATTTGGATATGCTCATCATTATTGACTTGTGGTTATTAACTATCAAGATACATATATCCCCAAAAATTTCTAGTTGTGGTGGCACCGATTTTGCTCCACTTGAACAATGGTACCGTTCTCACTTGAAATCTTCCCGCCTTATCTTCCCAAAGTCTTCCGCAGTTTCCAAATAAAAGGTCTTAATCTACTTGATATCAATCATTTTCAAAGAAGTCGAGTAACAGGCTGCACTAAAAACTACTTTGCATAACTTAATCTTTCTCCACACACACACACACAAAAAGAAAAGAAAAAAAAAAGGAAGTTCATGCTTCCATAGAACAAGTAGAACAAACAAATCTATGCAAGATAAGCTTAAATCCAAATTAACCCAAAAGAAAAATAAATTTAACGGAATTTCACATTCAACTTTACTCACATTCAACTTTACTAACAAAACCCTTTCCCCAAACTCTATGTTACTGAAAAAAAAAAAAAAAAAAAACTCACATTCTTTATTCCATTGCAACTTTAGCCCCAACCGCCTTCATTTTCTCAATAATCTTATCAGCTTCATCCTTAGTAACTCCTTTTTTCAATAAAGTTGGTGCCTTTTCCACTAAATCTTTAGCTTCCTTCAAACCCAAATCAGTAAAACCTCTAACTTCCTTAATAACTTTAATCTTCATGGCCGCATCAAACCCTTCTAATTTCACATCAAACACTGTCTTCTCCACCTTCTCCTCCGCCTTCGCTGCTGCTGCCCCACCACCAGCACCCTTCATCCCCGCTCCCATGCTAAACCCCATGCCTGGCATCATCACTGCCATCACTGGCATCTCTTTAACATCCAATTTAGTACGCAAAACCTCAGTTAAATCTGATACCTCTAGAAGGGTTAATTTTGAGAGTTCATCAGCAATTGAAGAGACTCTATCAGATGATGGTGGAGGTGATGATGGCGGTGGTGGTTGCGGAGGTGGAGTTGATTCTTGAGAGAGAGATGTGAAACGGCGAGTGAAATTAGAGGATTCGAGAGTGAAAATAGGGTTTCTTTTAGGGTTGAAGGTTTTGTGGATTTGAGAAATGAAGTGTAAAGATCTCATCTTTAGGGTTTATGGGTTATGGGTTTCGTGTGTTTTTTGAAATTATGGAGTATTATAGGAGCATTTTTTGAGAAACTAAGGAGGTGAGTTTTGCTTTTCTGTTAATGATTTCTTTGAAGCCGAGAAAGAGAAGTTTTAGCGACTAAAATCCAGGCATAAACCCTACTACTGCTATGCAACAGGCTTTGCTGGTCTGTGCACTAATGGGCTGAACCAGGCCTACACTTTAGTGTTGTTAAAACATTGATTTCTTCTTGATTTGAGGAGCTATAGGCCATTTTAGCATAATTATTTTATTTGGAGCCCATAATAATGCTGTCAGACAAACCTACTTAAAAAATACAAATTATTCTATTTGAAGCCCGTAATAATGTTGTCAGATAAACCTTCTTGAAGAATACAAATTATTATAATAATGGCCTGGACAAGGTGTCAAAGCAAAGGTGAGTACAACATGTGATTCAATGCTCAATCAATCTGAGCTTTAGTTGTCCCGCATAAAGTTACTATAACTTACCAACCAAACTTACACAAACACGCACAATATATATATATATATATATACACTATACAGAGAGAGAGAGAGAGAGAGAGAGAGAGCAAAGTTCATTCCTTTGCTAAAAAAAGCACCTATTTAGTTCATGGCCGGCTTCATACAAAATTAGTATCCTCCTACGATCTTAATCTAAACTAAACTAAACTAAGTAAAACGTTGGGTCACTGTAGATTTATTATTTGAAACATTATGCACATATTCACGTTTTATTTTTCATCTTCTCATATTTCACTATATGTTTTACTATTTATGGGTTTTTTTATGTTTTGATCCACGAAATTTTCAAATAAATTTTTCAATCCACATGTTCATTTGCTCATCCATTTTGGTCCCTAAATAGAGAGAGAAGGCTGAGAAGAAGAAAGAGACGGGAGGAGAGAGAGGTCGTCGGCCAACCATATTTAGTTCACTCCGGTCGACGAAAATCCACTAGATTTTTTTATTTTTGAGAGATGAGTTTGCTCATGGTAATTTCAAGCTATTAAACAATTAGATGAGGTAGATCAAAGCCAATAAAGAAAAAAAATCCGATTTGATTTTATATTTTTCTTTATTTTTGTATGTATTCAAATGATTTTTAAAGCTTTAGATGTATTTATTGGCTTTATTTCGGTTACTTAGAGGTGTTTGAAAAAAAAATGATCTCAAAATTCAATTTCTAAGGATGCGAAATTAACTCTCGATTTTCCAACGAATCTTCCGACGACTTCAAGTTCGTCGAAAGTTGCAAGGTTTTCTTTTTTTTTTTTTTTGGTTGAGCGACGAGGCCGGGCCTAGCGCGTGGACTCGTAATGGCAAGCCCGAGGGCACCGGCCTACCGCCAACAACGTCCGCCTCCCTCTTTTTTTTAATATTATTATCTTTTTTTTTTTTTTGTGCATATGTGCAACCTGGTTACGCAAGCCAACCGGGCGTCCGTCCTAATTGGCTTGCAACTACGTGCCTTTTTGTTCTCTCTCTCTCTTTATATATATATTAAATTTATTGTTTAAATTTATTTTTTCAATTATTTATTTCTTATTGAAATCCAAATCAAATTAATTTTTTTATATGATTTTATTTGTTAATAAATTTGGTTTTTTATTTTGAATTAAAATTTTAGGATATCGGTTTTTTAAAAAAAAACATATGATTATAATTTCTACAATAAATTATATGTGTGTGTCTTTTTTTCTTTATATATATGGAATTAGGTGCGAAAAAACATAAAAAAATAAATTGTTATAATTTTTAGATGATAGAATATATATGATATTTTTTTAGATTTTAGTTTGAACATATAGATCCGATTATATTACTTTTATTGTTTAAAAATTATTTTTTTAATTATTTATTTCTTATTAAATTCTCCTCATGTTTATTTTTGATATGATTTTATTTGTTAATAAATTTATTTTTTTAATATATGAATTTTGGAATACAAATTTAAAACATCAATCTTCTATTTTAAAAAAATATATATTTTTTATAATTTATATAATAAATTCTTCTTTTGCTTTTTAAATGAGTTTTTTATTTTTTAAAAAATATATTGTTATAAATTATAAATTCGAGAGAGAGCGAGAGAGAGCGAGAGAGAAACATAAAGAGAGAAAGCTAAAAGTATGTTTTAGTTAGTGTGACTCATTTTTTTTCTAAAAAAAAATTAATAATCAATTAAAAGAATTCACAATTTTTATTTTTTTATATTTATATATTTATTAAGAATTTATTGAAACCAATTTTATTATAGTTTTTATTTTGATCTGTTAACTTCAATATTTTTCATACAATTTAGGTCTTACATATGTGTGTGTGTGTGTGTGTGTGTCATTAATTTTGTTAGAAATTAACTATGTATCTACACATATAATACCGATTATGTTTTTATTTATTTTTTTAATATTTTAATATTAATTTTTTAATAAAATAAGTTAGATAATGTTTTGAAAGAGTCTGCTTAATTATTTAAATACAAATTTTCATGTTAATATTATTAAATATTCTGTTAATAAATATATATAAATCAAACGATTTCGCTTAATATATAGATTCCATTTCCATCAATCATCATAAATAAAACTTTTACTCACACTACATCATACGTATAGTTAATTTTACATATGCAATGATTGTTTTATCGCACCGTAGAGCAAGTATCTTATACTTTTTTACAAAAATTTTAAACTTTAATTATATTGTAATTTAGTTGTATTTTATTTTAGTGTTTTTTCAAAATTATTTTTATTATTTCAAATTTGCTACTTTAATTTTTCATTTAAAAAAAAAAATCTCATCCAATTACTTTAAAATTATAAGGTCCTCAAATTTTCTATACAATTTTTCTTTTAATTTTAAGCTTTAATTGTATTATGATTTAGCCCATTTGTTTTAATATTTTTTATTATTTTTATTATTTAAAATCTATAACTTTAATTTGTCATTTCTTTTAAATTCTCATCCAATTAATTTAAAATTACATTTGATAACGAGTTTTTGTTTATTTTAATATTATTCATTCTTTTCTCATCCAATTAATTTAAAATTATATGATTCTCAAATTTTTTATGCAATATTTTTTTTTAATTTCAAATTTTAATTGTATTGTAATTTGATCCCATTTTGTTTAAGTGCTTTTTTGTTGATTATTTTTATTATTTAAAATTTACTACTTTAATTTTTCATTTTTTAAAATTCTCATCTATTTAATTTCAAATTACATTAAAAAATTTGCTTTATTTTTTCACCTTTAATATCATATATTTTTATACATTCACACCATAAAATAGATTATCAAATTAAAATGATTGTTCTAAATGATTTTATATATTTTATCCAATTCGTAGCATAGCCCGAAAAAAAAATCTAGTATTAATCTAAACTACATCACAACAATTGGCAAGTTCATGGAGGTCACACTTTAACCTACCAATCCAACGAATTTTTGTAAACAAAGGTGTTTGCCGACTTGTTAATAGTGGACATAACTTTCCATCTTTGGTTGTTTGCTTTTCCATCTTTGGTTTTTCGCTTGGAAATGCAAAAAAAGAAGTTAATATTGAAATCATTACAACTTTGACAACCTCATCCTCCGATTTCTAGCAACTTTTGAAACCGAACAAGTACCAATTTTGAAGGCCAATTAGGCATTAAATGATCTTGGGGAAAGGGTGAAAGAGATGCTTGCAATCTTAACCCCGACATTGAACATCCAAGTTGAACTTTTAAGTATTAGCTCGACGGAGATAGGGCATATGTGGGCCGGTGAGGATTCCGGTCGTGAGGAAGAGTTTCCTAACTTGTCCAAGGATTTATCATGACAAAGAATTGGCATATAATCTTCACTATCGAAATTCGTTAAATAACAACGAAATCTAATAATGAACATTAGTTAGTCACTAAATATAAAGCAAATAGCGACTCGTACAATTTAACAATGGAGTAGCGATAAAATAGCTATTATCTTTTAGCGACGGACTCGTTGCTAAATTTGACATTAAAATCTTTCCGACGAGTTTTGGAGATGGTTTAACGACGTATTTGTTAAGAAAAATAGGATCGAACTTCATATCCCATCATTATTTTCATTTGTTAACGATATAATGACGAATATTAGTCGCTACATGACGGATCTTTCGTATTTTAGCAACAAAAAAATCCATCGTTAAGGTGCAGATTTTGGACAAAATGGGGTGACCTTTTTGAAAAACAAAATTCGACCAATTTGCTACGAATTAGTGATAGGCATCGACAAATTGCAATGGATTAGCAACGAGTACTTACTTTCGTCGCTAAATATGGAAAATGGGAGGCCAATTATGCAAAATTGGGCATCTATTTTGACATGGATTAGGAATGGAAATAAGATAAGTGTCCATTGCTAAATAGAGATGAAATAGCGATAGGATCATGTCCATCACTATTTTTCAACCCTAATTTAACCCTCTTCTTCTTCCTCCTACCTTATTTTCTTCTCCCTCTCAAAATCTAGCTATTGTCACCATTCTCCCACATCCTCTAAACCAACACCAAACTCCATTCTTACACTCTCAATCGATCCGGACCCACTCTAAGGTATTTTCTTTCAAAAAACTCTTGTTCTTTTCCTCCTCTTGGTGTAATTCCCCACTTGAATTAGGTACGTTTTTTCTCTTTTATTTTCTAAATGGGTTTTATGTATATCAAGACCCCGTACAATTTGAATTTTTTAATTGATATCCTCAATTTTTTTATCTAATTTACGAGTTATACTCTTAATTTTTTTATTGTTTTAGACCCCAATCCGCCACGTAAGCACACGTGATAAGGTCTACTTAATGATAGATTGACATATAACAAAGTGGCCCTAAATTGATTTTTAACAAAAATTAAAAAAATTCGATGGATTTTTAATTACTTAACTAATAATAAACCTAAAAATAATTTATGAAAATACCAATCTACCTTTATCCACTAAACCTAAAAA